AGACTCCAACATCTGCTCCTTTTTTTAAAAAAAGAAAAAACAATAAAAAAAATCAACCCAAATCTTTTCTTTCATTACTTTTCAAGAAGGGTTATTTTTCCCTCACACGTTTTAACAAATGAGGCTTTGCAATATTAATTTTCCCACTCTTTCACTTGAAAACCAAAGTCTCAGCTCTTGGATGTGGGATCCAAGCTGTTGAGCTGTCACCTGTGTCTTGATACAGTTCACATGTGCATGCTCGCTCTTCTGCTCTTTGGGCTGTCTGCTTGTCTCTGCAGCTGAGGAGTTTCCATGTTCTTCGCTAGGAAGTTACTTCTGCTTTGAATCTGTGAATACACAAACATAGACTTTCCTCCAAATTATTAATTGAAATGAATTTTTAATCTGTCCTGCTTCTGAACCTTTGACCAGAACCAAAGAATTCTCTCTCAACTTTGCTTGAGTACTGTTAGAACAATACCTGATAATTGATGGAATTGGCTTTGTAACAGACCCGTTTAAAAAGGACTCTTCAAGAATTATTTGCAATAGATAAACGATCTTTATGCTTTTTCAAAAAATTTTAAGATATATGAGGTTTTTATACTTCTGAGGCATAGCCTTGGTTCCCCCCTTTTTTGTAATTAAGGTATTTGTTTTTTTGTTATGACAATGAAAAACCATCAAAACACATAGGAAATAACACTTTTACAGAAATCAAAAACTTATCAAGATGCATAATTAATATTATGTGATATTAAACTTATCTGAATAATCTGTAATATGAATTACTGAATATACTAAATATATACACTCATCTCAGAGTCTGCCACAGCTGATAAATCAATGGAAGATTGGAAAATCATGTCCTGATAACAATTTTCCAAGCCCTCTGTAAAATCCAGCTGCTATATTAATTCATTAATTGTCAAGTTAAATTGACTTGAATATTGCTTTGATGCAGAAAACTTCTGGGTTTATTGGTAAATTCTCCATCCAGGTAAAGTCAAGGCTTGGCCAGAGCCTTAGGCCTCATCTGGAAAGATGTCTCTTAAGTCATTTTCAAAGCAGGGGGTTTAAGAATAGCAGCTATAAGATGCTTAAAACACCGCAAACTTTTAAAAGGCATTTGTATAAAACAAATTATCAGATGTCTTAGGTAATTGACTAATTAAACCATTCACCAGTTAATTTAATCTGAAGTTTCCTTCATAACACTTAACTTTCAACAATGATTTTTTTCTTCTTAGAATCCTGGAAACCAAAATAATAACGCTACACTGGATTAGGCAAATGCAAATCTTCTTAAACAAAGAAAAGAGTAAAAACCAACACCAAAAAAAAACTCTGTATAGGAACAGCTATATAGCTTATTTGCCAAGATGCATCTGTAGTTAGAAAACAAAAAAAAAATCTCAAATGACACGTGTCTAAAAGGTAATTACACAAAGATCTATCAAAATATGTATAAAGCTTGCTGTAAATACAAAGACACTTTATAGATAATGCTCATCATAGAAATCTATAAATTTACATTATACAATGAATAGGTCATCAGTAAGTGTCTGAAGAAATCAAGATAACATTTTTAAAACATTCACGTCTTAGTGACTAAAAATGAATTAAAGTGAAAAACTTTTAATTTTTTTGTAAATAACAATCACTATTCTTTTGTGCAATTTATATAAAACCAAAACTGCAGAGATCATAACAAACAATAGAACCTCCAATGAAATCAAGGGTGTCACAAATTGCATTCACCTCTATTCTTAAGCAGATGTTCACCAGTGTTCTATCACAGCTGTTTCAGTTGTAGTTATCTTCATCTCTCCAGGAAAATAACTATGCAGTTTAAACAAATGTCTTCAATAAAACATGAAGCAATTTCAATTTAAACCTGTTAAAAATTAATTATGATAAAAGGAAGTAACAAAACTTAACATCAAAAAATACCAAAGTTATAAGTTAAGTTAAAACCACTCAAACTTAAACATAGCGAAGTTTAACTTTGCTTAATCCTATTAACACTTAATCTATATCAGATGAAAACACAACTTAATCTTACTCTATTATTATAAAAAAGGCAACTAAAAATTTGTATTCACTTCTTGAACACAATTTAACAGGAACATTGATTCACTATAGATTATAGGGATGCAGCAAATACATCACCATTCTGTTATCTGGTTTTGAGAATAACTCACAATAACTGCAGATGTTATTAAAAATACCCATTCGTAACAAGAATTTGCTTGGCATATGCTTAAATTTGTTAGGATTTTTAGAATGCAGTTTTACTAGAAAAAAAATACAACACCACAGATTTGGCAAGTTGCTATTCAGCTTTTGTAGTACTTCTCAGAAACATTAAGTCTAACGTTTTAACTAAAATCCAAAATCCAAATTGGTATATATGCTGTTATACATGTTTTTTATAACAAAAGGACTCACATTGAATTTTCCTTATTAAAATTGTAAAAAAAAAACAAACCAAGCAAATGGGTAATATATGCTTAACATAACTTTGAGATTACTGAAAACTGTATTGAACTGAATCCACAATACACTTATTCAAATGAAAAGTTAAAAATGAAAAAAAACTGTCATTGAATCTTTTTTCTGTAGGGTTAATCATATGATCTTTCAACTCAATTTTAAAGAAATGCATCTTGCAGAAATTAACTGTAACTACAGTAATAATACTTGATGATCACTCTATATCATACAATATTACATTATCAGTAGGTGTACAGAGAAGATAACATTTTCAAAACCTTCATGTATCGAGAATACTGAAACAGAACAAAAATCTTTTAAATTTCTTGGGATGCATAAATATCATCATTTTCTATGTTATTCTGTAAAAACAAAACTAACAGATATCATTAAAAATACAACATCCATATGTATTCTATTATGCAACATTTTAAAACTTTTTGATCCATTTTTGAAGGCACTTCAATAGGGGCTTCTTTTTGAAGCTTAACTGACTGCAGTAATTTGCAGATTAGCCAGTAATGCATCTTACGATGCTTTTGATTTTTGCCTTTTGGCTATTTTTCTGAAACCATTCCAGAGATGCTGGACTTTGTATTGACATGCCCCATAACCCCGAGTCCATGTCTGTGGGAGGATTTGTAGACTGAAAGAACTTGTGCATGAGCAGGGCTGTGCTCAAAAGACTCTTGGCTTTGTGTGGTATCAAGTGAAACCATCTGCTGTGGTGAAGCTGTTGTTTTTTCAAGCTGTTGTTGCTCTGCTGCAGCTGTATTGCAAAGCGAATTCAACTTCAAAACTGCCGCTGCTGCTTGCTGACATTGCAGTTCAGCTGCTGCTGCTGCTTCCTTTAGCGTCAGTTGCCATGGTGACAGGGCTGCAGCGCTCGGTGCAGACCGCGGCCCCGCTTGTGCGCATGCCTGTCCCCCGGCTCCGGGCTGGGCACGGAGGGACGGGACCACGCCTCCCTGTGACGTCATGGGCACCCCTGATGAGAGCTGCCCTGGGGGCGGTGCCGCAGGCTGGGTCTAGAGCTGCGGCGGTGGTTGCGTCACTGCTGACGTCACTTTGACTGACAGCTGTGGCTCCAGGCCCAGCCCTGGCAGGCGGGGCGCAGGGGCCGCCGTGCCCGCGGAGGTCCCGGACCGCTCTGGGTCGGGCCGAACCCTCCCGAACCCTCCCAGGGGGGACAGGGCTGTCCCCTCCACCCCTCTGGGGTCAGAAAGAGACTCGGCTGCCGGCACGCAGGCGGCCAAGGAAGTTTCCCCTCCCTCTTCTGCCTGCAACAGCATACTGAGCGCTGGAACAGCTCCAAGAGAACCCAGACATTCTTGCAAAAGCTCCGAGGCGTCGGAACTCCCTGCAGATTCTGCCCGCGTTTTAGAATCACCCCCTCGTCTCTGTATAGTTGTTTTTCTGCGCTTTCAACAGGCTTAGACATTCCCTTTGCCACGGTGGAATTCAGGAAGGCTCTCACAGACTTTACAGCGTGTGGGAACAAGGATTCCGCATCTGACTGGGACAAACCCTTCTGTTTTTCTGGACCCATAGTGTCCCTTGCCTGAGTTTCAGAGTCCCATGTAGAAGCCATTAGAAGTTCAGTCGCTGTCTGGTCTCTAAGAGTGGTTTTTTCATATATTCTCACGTTTATCTTCTCCCATAGACATGGGGTAAAAATTTTCTGTGAATCCACGTTAGGGAATTCTACCCATACCCAGGATAGAAGGCTTTTAAGCTCATCCGTGGACACAGAGATCAGGTGCTCCTTTACCATAGCTTCCAAGATAACCAAAACCTCCCTCTCAGGTTTGGACATGTTTCCCATATTTTTGCTCCCTTTTGACAGCTTACCTGACCTTAGGGTCAGCTTTCTCTCAGCTCCTCTATCCGTGATCCATTCCTCTTTTCTCATTATAAGCACAGCTGAACAAACATGCAATGACAAGACATTTTTTACCTAAGTCCAAGATTCATTATCTCAAATCCTGCTTCTCACTTAATCATTAACCCTAACTAGTTCCAGCAAGGCCTATCTCTAGCTAACATAGAATTTTTCTAAAATTCTTCATGTTTTAAAATTAATGACTCCCAAGGAGGTTTCAGAGGGTCCTGGGTGGGCAGGGGGAGACTGGGAGGGTCCTTGGAGGAGCCTGGGGAGTCTGTGAGAGGTTTTGGGGGTTCTGACCTCTGCAGACCTCCCAGGAATGCTGTGAAACGCCACCTGCAACAAGATGCTGATGGAGATCAGAGGCTCCACGTTGGACTTCGTCTTCCTGGTGCTGGGGTTCGGCTTCTACCTGAGCAAGAATGTGAGAGGGGGTCCTGGGTCTTGTGTCCTCCCTCCCTCAGAACATGTGTGCTTTCCTCAGGGCCCCCAAGCCCAATGTCACCCCATTTTCTCTTCCCACAGAGCTCCTGAGGCAACAGCAAAAGGTTGTCTAGGATTGAAAGTCAACAAATCTGCTCCCCTCAAGGAATTACCATTGTTGGTCTGTGTCCCAATGTTGTTCCTGTCTGTGTTCATCCAGGTGCCCACAGAGAGCCAGGAAGATGTGGAGCCTCCCCGCCAGGTGTCTTCCCAACATGAATCACCAGGACCACGGATCACCAGGGCTCTGCCCAATGGGGGTCACTGGGGATCATCCAACGCCCATCCTCCCATGGGGGATGGAGCTGGAGCAGCGCACGAAGCTCTTCTCACACTCGGGGCACTCACAGGGATTCCCTTACTGGTGCCTACGTTGGTGTTGGGTCAAGTTAGAGCTGTGTGAGAAGCTCTTCCCACACTGGGGACACTCATAGGGCCTCTCCCCAGTGTGGATGCGCCGGTGGACAGTGAGGGTGGAGTTGCGGTTGAAGCCCTTCCCACAGTCGGGGCAGCGGAAGGGCCTCTCGTCTGTGTGAATCCGCTCATGTCTGATGAGAGTGGAGCTGCGCTGAAACCTCTTCCCACACTCAGGACACTCATAGGGCCTCTCCCCAGTGTGGATGAGCTGGTGTTTTCTCAGGTCAGAGCTCCACCCAAAGCTCTTCCCACATTCCCCACACTCGTAGGGCTTTTCCCCCGTGTGGATCCTCTGGTGCCGGATCAGATTTGAGTTCTGGCTGAAGCTCATCCCACATTCCCCACACTCATAGGGCTTTTCCCCAGTGTGGGTCACTTGGTGCTGCATGAGGCCAGAGATGACTCTGAAGCTCTTCCCACATTCCCCACATTCGTAGGGCTTTTCCCCAGTGTGAATCACCTGGTGCCGGATCAGGTAGGAGCTCTTTCTGAAGCTCTTCCCACATTCCAAGCATTTGTGGGGCTTCTCCCCGCCGTGAGCTCTCTCCCCCAGCTCTGAGCTCCGGTAGGATCTCCAGCCACCTTCCTGGTACAGGGGGGATCTTTCCTCCTTGCAGCTCCCTGGGCTGGGTTTGCAGCCCCTCCTCATGCAGGATCTCCAGGGCTTTTCCTCCCCCTCCATCTGGCCACAGCTTAGGAATGAAAAATCCTGGTTTGGGAGAAAAAACAAGAGAAGAGCTCCTTAGACTGGGGTTTCCTCCTTGCCCAAGTTCATCTCAGGAACTCATTGGGCATCTTGTGTCTGGAAGAACCTCCAGGACACCAAGACTCAGCACAAACATCTTCCAAACAGCAAAACAGATCAAGAACTTCCAAAACACCAAAAATCTGATATATCTGATATCACCCTAAATTAGAAAGATTCAGCCCCCACAAAAAAAAACAAAGCACCAACATTCAGCCCAATAAAGCTCAGAAACTCCAAGATTCAGCCCCGGGAAAATTGTCCATCTCCCTGCCCGGGCACTCGCTGCATGGGGGGGCGAGGGGGGCAATGAGGCCGGGCCGGAGCAGGGGGTGCCCGAGAGAGGCCCCGAGCCCGGCAGAAGCCCCTGCACAGCCATGCAAGTGGCTCCTGGCCGGACTCGGGGATCCCCCTGGCCATCCCCGCTGGAGCAGCCTGGTCCTGAGGGACTCTGGCCCCTGCGAGGGACCCCAGGCTGCAGCAGGACAAGGATTCCTGGCCCTCAGGGGGAGGCAGTGACATGACCTGACTGTGACCCCCATCCCTGTGCCTCTGGGCGGGGAGGGGGACGGAGAGGGGCAGAAAGTTAAGCCCGGGAAGGAGGGAGAGCTGGGGGGAAGATGGATTTCTGTAGGAATTACTTTACTTCTCATTTGCTTGCTCTGACATGTTGGATAATGAATTCAATTAATTTCCCCAAGTCAGGTGTGCTGTGCCCGTGACCAATGATCGAACTGTCCCCACTCTCATCCAGACCCCCGAGCCTTTCCTTGTGTGTTCTGCTCCCCGCCCGGGGCAGGAATCAGAGTCACAGAGTTTTGTCCTCTTTCCGTAATCCCCTGCTCCATCCCGGACTCACCCCCCAGCTCCCAGCTCCCAGCGCCCGCAGCTCCCGGGCACCCCGAGCTCCCGGCGCTTCAGCGCAGCGGCGCTTCCTTGGCCTCCTG